TACATTTTTCTGAAATGTGTGCTAGAACATCACTCCATCATTTGAGCACTCACATACAGCATTTACGGCATTTCTCAGTAGCCTTAAAAGGAAGCCTTTATATGACAAGTAGTTAGTGAGCCATACCCCTATAAATACCTCAAAACCCAAGTAAAGACAACAAAGAGTTTGTTTATTTTTTTTTTTTTTTTAACGTTTAATGTGCTTTGCCTGTTTGAAAATGTTCATATAGTCAGAACAAATGAGCACAAAGCCAGGCTGAAGGCTTGTGACTGAGGTTAAAAACCTACTTCAGTAAATAGCATTCAGGCAGGCGGGCCAGCGGTGGCTGAGGCACGTTCCAGATGTTACTAGCACTGGGCGTGGATGCTAAGCAACTATAGCTATTTTTAGCCACAGAGCACAGGAAGGAAATGAAAGGAGCAGAGTTCAGTGTGTACGGGATTCAGAGCAGCAGAGAGGGTAATCAAACACTGCCGACCAATGGCAAGCGCACCGTCCTGACACAATGGTGGCTCGCCTGCCGCTGGCTTAGTCTTATCACAACATACTCGTGCTGAGAGTGGGTGTGAGATGAATGACTGGGGCGAGGAGGACAGCGAGGGAAGGAAAGAGATGGATGGGGGAAGTGAGAAGGAAAGAAAAGCTGCTGAGAAGTGAGGAGTTGGTACAAATTAAATCAGGGGATTGGTGTGTTTCCTTCACATTACAACTCTCCAAAACTGCCACTTCAATTTCTCTGATATTAGCTGTAAAGTGGAAAAGTTCACAAAGACATCATACAAATGATCACTGCAAGGTTGCTGGCATATCTGCCTGCTGTCACCTGAACCACCTACCAAATCATAGCTGTTTTGTGTAAACAACAAGCTCACATTGAGGGACCAATTTCCATTCAAATGTAGCGCACAAACAAAATCCATTCACCTTGACACTGTACTATCAAGGCGATGAGCATCACTTGGGTGGCTCAGACACTTCGCAAGTCAGTCAGTCATGACTCCAAGGCTGTTTAGATGAGATAGAAATTAATGCAAGCGACACTGTCTGCATTTCAAATGAATGATGCTATTCCCTTTAATGAAGACGGCAAATCCGTCAGAAAGCTTCCTTCCTTCACTGCTCTCCAGTCACAGACGGAAAATTACCAAACTGTTGATAGATGGTTAACAGGTGCAGGCTAATTATGCTAATCATGGCAACAGCCAAATAAACTGATTGCCATGTTCATTTAAATGACAGCAATGTTCCTTTGGTGGCTAATTAAAATAGGTTGGGAGAAAGGAAACGAGGCGGCTGGGTTCGGATGGAGGGAGGTGTTTAAATAAAAGCGTTCTCTTGGGTCTACTGTAATAAGCTGTATTTCATTGGTTTAATGATGTCATAATGAATTTCTGATGATGGGGGATGGGCTAGGCTGAAAAGAAGAGAAGTGTGGTGATATGTGCAAGAAACCATGCAGATACTTTTCCCCACTGCAAAAAGACGGCGCAACAAGGGAGCCCTAGCTTATGTGGTGTGTGGCGGAGGGTATTCCTGGTTGAAATGAGTTAAGTAATGAAAATAAAAATCAGTAGAGGACATCAAGCAGGGTATGTGCTCCATCTGTCTCAATACTAGCCCCAAAGGAAAGGGTAGAGGAAGGTTTTAAAGGGGCAATTACTCTTTTTCAGCATCGGACCCAGTTGGCCCCAGTCTCCATTTGCATGTGACCTGGGAAAAGGCATCATTAGAGAGGGAGAGACGGCGATCAGAGGCCAGGGGAGATGAACTCTGGGGCCATTGCAGAGGTATGAAAGGTGGATAGGGGCTGATTAATGTTTATAGAGACAGAAACTATCAAAACTCTCTCTCTTGCCTCATTTCCCCACAGTCCTCTGTTTTAATTCCAGTCGTCCAGAGGAGATTAAAAATACATAGTTTAGGCTTTATCTGTGCAAGCATCCTATTTGTTTTGAAAAAGGCGTGCCACCAGGGACGTACTGAGAGCACCACCTTTTCTTTCACTAAGCAATATCTCCTCCTCCTCCTTTTTATTCTGTTTCTTTGTCTTCTTTTTTACAAGAAATAAAACAATTTAAAGAAACAACACTGGCTTAGAGACCATGAATTGTGTTGTTCAAACACATAATAATGTGGAGAACCTGGACATAACACATACACGTAACGTATAATTGCTGTGTTATTTCATTTTTTTATTGTTTAAAGCACATTTATGGCAAAACTGTCTCCAGAAAATTTTGTATTCTCAATGCAGGGGAAAAGAACCTTTGGATGCACTCAAGCAAAAACTGTCAGATGATGTGTCTTTGGAGAGATGGATGATACAAGTGGCATCCAGTGTGACTGTCGTCAACGGTATGACTGCAACACTCTCCACAATATAAATGGTCAAGCTTAAGACTCAGGAAACTTAACTGAAATCTTCTAATGTCATTCAACAGAATATCCAACTAGATATTGAGACAATGGAAATGTAGATGAAAAGTTCTATCAATAGATCTGTTTAAGCCATTTTTCTTAGAAACAAAATGCTGATCTGTATATGCTGAGGGGTTTTAGATAGCTCTCGCTCTGAAAGGGCGCCTCATTGCATCAAAATGTGCACAAATGCCAAAGCTGGTTCACTTTTCAAATTGTTTTTCTTTGTGTAAGGTGAAAACAAAGGAGTGATAAAAGAATGATATGGAGAGAAGAGATGAATGATACTGTACTATGATATATACGATCAAAGTTAGAATTCATTTTCTTTGCTATCGGAAATGCACACAAAGAAACTTTTGTGTTAAGGTAACAAAAGAGCAAAAAGCACATTCAGTGATGAGCTATAAAAGAAAATAGAACTAAAGAGACTCAGAAATAGAACGGCCCCTTTTTATCTTCCGTTTATGAGGCATTCTCACTATTTAAATGTATGCCACATTAGTAGGGATCTGCTCAATTCAATATATTATAATGTGATGTTTGGCCTTAATGGAAAATCAATGATGAGACAAGCCCGCCACCGCTGAGACCATACAAAAGCAATTTCCAAATTGACATATGGAGGGCCTATGTGATTGATTCTGACTGATGTTGGATTTTAATACCATTCACTGCGAGCTCATTGACTCTCAGACATCGTCTTGTGGTTTATCTGCAAACTGCCAAATGAGTCCTTGTCTCCTTTTCCTTCTCTCTCATCTTTTCCTCCTCTGTCTTTCTTCAGCCTCTCTTTTCAGCCCAAAGCAGGGAGAGTGGATATGTTGAAAGAATTAGATATACTGTATGTTAGATAAATGACCAGCCGACTTTCCGCAAATACATCCTCTTTGTAATCGATCACGGGGAAATGTAATGCAGTTGATTCGTATCCCACCCCACAGCTGGAGTTCAAATTCTGTATGTTCCTCCAATCAGCTGAAAGGTACAGTATTAACATTCCCACTGCACCAGCCCTGACACAGTGGCATCAGCTGTCATCATCATACTATCCCTACTGCTTGTTTTAACTGCCTACTAGCCTAGACAGAAGCTAACGCCTGCCTTCACTCCTGTGTCCATAGCCATGCACTAACACGCACTGCAGTCAAAACAGATTAGAAAGTAGAGATAAACAATTCACTTTCTGAAACTGAGGCTGACAGGGTTTGCCGGTCAAGGATTACAGGCCAATCCCTACCCCCCTCCTCTATCACCCATTTGCTTTCTCCTTTCATGTTCGGTCGCATGAAAAGAAAAGATGTCATAATCCGGTGACCTCTTTCCCTGTGTTTTGCTATAGTTTTGCCAGTAATTTATTTATTTACTACTTATGCCTACTTAATACCATATCTAACATCTACAATGGCAAACTTCAAATGAAACCAAAGACCTACAATTCCATACAACCATCCATCCAACAATCCATTTCCCACCAGTTATTCAGGTCTGGGTCACAGAGGCAAAGCACCCAGATGTGCTCCTCTCCAGCCACAACCTCCAGCTCCAGATATTCCAAAGCCACTTGGGAGTTTCCTGGGTCTGTGTTGGACACAGCCAACTAGGTGGAAACACGCCATCCATCTCCAAAGGACGGCATCCACAAGGCATTCTGATCAGATGCTGAACCACCATTCCATAAGAACAGCAGTTCCACTCCGATCTCCTTCAGGATGTCTGTGCTCAAAGGGCGCCCACTCAGATTCCATGTCCCTAACCTCCCCACCAGGATGAAGGGATAAAAGGACCATGCGGGCAGTGTCCTTATGACTACCAATTTAATAAACACAAAAATCCACTTGAATATCCCATAAAAACTCTCTATAAAGCTAATATGATGTGCGAGTGAGTCAGCCACCTTTACTGCTGAGCCATTACACACACGCACAAAGTATTCCAACAGGAGACTGTTGGAAAACAGAGTGGAGTTCAACTCTAGTCACTCAGTGACATGAGATGAGACTGCTGACCCTGAAGTGTTACACCAAATGCTCATTCTGAGCTCTCCGTGCCATATTGAGGTTAATGTAACTGACGGATTTGACTTTGAACTACCTTTAAACCCAAGCAAGTCACATGGGCATACTATGTGATTCTGCAGATACACAGACAACTTCACACTCATACATGCCTGCACTCTTCCGTCACACACACTTCTCATACAATGCAGGCCAAATGGATGAGCACACATAGCTGAAAGCCTCACATCTTGTGTAAATAAATAAAAAATTGATAACCATGTATTTCACTGCTAAAAGAGTCATGAAACTACAGTATATCAGCCAATCTAAAAAGATATAATCGTAAAAAATACCATACACCACATCTTAGGTTTTCATCTGACAACACAAGGACATAGCTCCTGCTGTAAATTATATTATCAGTTACACAAGCAGCGTCATGTCTCTAAGCGCCTGCTGTAGTTAGAATATAGCCCATGGGCAGCACCATTTTTTATCCTGACAGTGTCAGTTCAAGTGCAGAGCGTTTTGGAGACTGAAAAGTAGAGCATCCATCCTTAAGTTTAATGTTTAACTCACCTTGCCGAAGTCCCTGACATCAAAGAGGTCGAAAGGGTCAAACAGCTCGCTGTTGCGCAGGCCGAACTTGTCGTGGCACACCTTGAGAAATGTTCGGATGTTCTTCAAACACAGGAACTACAAAGGAGGGAAAGAGAGAAGACAAAAAACCCATTTATGAACGCTCATATTGAACCTTGCATAGACAATTCCAGTGACAGTCAACGGCTAACATAACAGCGTTGTAACAGCGTGATTAAACAAGAATATTTGCCCTCAGAAACATGTTCCACCAGTATGTTTAATATCCACTATCAATGCAATGGCAATTTTTGCAAATATTTAATTTCCTGGTTGATGATTGGCAGGCTCTCCATTTCATCCCCTCCTGGTGTATGTGTGATTATTCAGCACCAGAAGGTGAGCAGGCTGATTGCTGTTCCTGAGGCTGATGGGCTGCCTCTCTGATCCAGATAAGGAGAGCCACAGAGGAGCCTTGTCTCCTGACATCAGAGCAAAGACAAGCCCACCGGCAAAGAGCTGCCAGGGGGGTAAATGTGGCCTGTTGGATTGAGACACCGGCCTTGCGCTGAAAGGTCACAGGTCACAAATCTGACACACCAACTGTGACTGGCAGGTCTAGCATTCAAAAATGGCTTTTTTAGTGAGTAAAATTGGTTTGATACACAGATATTCAAGAGAGGAAACAAGAGCCGATCACTTCAGGGTATTTAGGGATACAGATAAGGTGATACAGAAGTAAGAAGCTGTCTTGCAGTAATTAAAGATTCTTTAGTGTCTGTTTAAACCTGTTCTCAGCACCAGATCAGTGGGATTTAAACTCATGGAATCCAAAAAGTGGAAATCGTTCCTTTATTTTCTTAACTTTTAATTCTGTATTTACTATTCGATGAGAGAAATCCCTTTTCTTTCCAATCTACAAAGGATAGAACAAATATGTCTTATCTGCAGTGTTGATTCAATAAAATGGCCAGGCCAACACATCGGCCAATATTAGCTTAAAGCAGATTGGCATCTGCACAACTATGGCTAATGGTTATGCAAATAAAGCATACCTGGGACTGATGGCAAATGTGGGGAGGTGGTGGAGTTCATGGGGACCCAGCAGCAGCCAAGAACACTCATAATAAACTGCATAATAAATACTCTCTGGTCACGAATATTGATGGTCTCAGTCCCTAAAATATGCCATCACACAGATAAACCTTGAGGGCTGGGGCACAGACCAATGAATGCACCAGGGTATTGAAATATTAATGATAAGTATAACTACCTCCCCATCTCCCATCTATGTGTGTGTGAAGAACACATTACCTAGCATGTAAATCCAGATGCTGCTCAGATATGCCCTTTCATTTCTCTGTGCGTGAGCAATATGAAGTGATGGCCATGGATGCAGAATGTACACTGAAGGAGATTTGAGTGAGCGAGCCTATGTTGAACAAAACGCCTGATTGCCTATTCTACTGAAAGCTTCGACAACATACTGTACATCAACCTCGTAATGGCTGCTGCTTAAAACTAGTACAGCAACCAGCAGCCTCGCAAGTCACAATTCACGTTTGGTTAATGTTAGCATCCCTTCAAGGCAGCAACGACAGCACCAGTGGGTCCCCTCAGGTACAGTAATATGCTGCAGAGTATCCCCACTTCCCAGGCATTGGAAAGTGCACATTGCTCTCATTTAAACTGCAGCTTGATGAGCCATAGTGTTTCCTATTGCTACAATGGACCATGTGAGACATCATCCGCATCAGCCTGTTTTACTAATTAGCTTTCACGCTTTGGAAGTTGAAGAGAAAAACAGTGCAAAAACCAAGCCATTGTTGCCACTCCAGTAATTTTTCAGATAAAAAGCACAGTTTCATCTGATATAGTTTCCTGGTATTTTGTGGCATTTCAGTCGGCCACTCCTGGCCACACCTGAGAGCCCTGCTGACTCATTCTCATTCATGTGTGCACATCTGCTCAGTCCCAGTGTCATGGGTGTGAACCCCATAACAGAGCCGCACTGGCCAATGAAAAGAAACGCGATTGGCTGGCTAGCTGAAGTGACATTTTCAGTTCAGCGGCGAAGGTTATCGTGTCTGCAGATCCTCACGTGCAGTGGGGGAAAAAAGCTTATTTTCTCAGCCCAGATATGAAACGGTAACATTTGCTGGAGTGGTTTGGAGACGAGAGACACAGAGAGAGAGAGGCTGTGCAGATATGGATCAGGAGGGGGAAGATGTGTCTGACATTCTAATGTATGTTTGGTGATAAGAGAGCCAGGGTAGGGGTAGGGAGAATTGCTATGATCTTGATGAAAAATACACAATTTCTTGGTGGAGTGTGAGTGCACCTGGGAGTAAACAGACTGTGGTCATCTCCTCAGGCTGAGGCTGGCCTTAGCACAATCCATCTGGAATTACCTCACTGTGGTCTGCAACACATTCAAGGCTAGGCAGAGATATTCCTCCGTTTTTCACAGTGTTGTGAGTGCATCTTGCACACACAACAATCTCAGACATAACAGTGCTAAATTGACTGCAAGGCTGATAGAATTCTAGTATACGCATATAAATGTGAAAACACATTTTTAACCTAAGCAATTCAACAGTTTCATTACATTAAATAAACTCCAACATTAGCTGGTGGGAGTCCAGCTCCTCTGCCTTATATATGAGACATCACCTTGGTCACCAGTAAATCTGTGATGACCATATTCTGGCAATTTATAGAGTAAATGATTAATCGCCTTTTTTTTCAGTAGCTGCGAAAGATTAAACTTTTCATTTTTTGGATGGCGGATTGGCTCATTACTGCAATATCGTTTTAATCTATTTCATCACTACAGAACCCTGTGATTGCTGTTTCAAGCCACAAAAAGAAATGAACTCCCACATATGGCTTTACAGCTAAAACATTGCAATAAAAGTTGATTGCAAGTGAAGACAGTGAGCAGGTGTTTGTTCCCTTTTTGGCAATTACATTATTGGTTCTTTGTTTGTGCACCTGTCACCTAAGACTCTTATAAGGCTGCAAATCAGTCTTTAACCTCACCTGTGTCATGTGGTAAGGAAGAAAAAAAATGAAAAGGTGGAGATACAGGCCGAGTGTTTTGTATATAGACATCTCCACAAACAGACCAGATAAAACATGTACATTCCTGAGCACATGCGCAACGGTTCACAACTTGCTTCAAGCCATTTGAAGCTACCTTTGTGTCAAACCCACTACTCATGGTACAATTAGTGCTTTGACTGGCTGCTAAAACAACTGTGCTCATCAAGGCTTTCAATAGCAGCAGCAAGTATTCATCAGATTCAACTCTCACCATAAATATGTGTACTGAATTTGGCTTTTTAAAAATTTTAGAAGATCTCTTTAGGGAAGAGAAAAAGAGAAGGTCAGGAAGAGATAGAGAGTGAATGAGGAAAAGGGAGGGAGATGTGAGGGAGTTAAAGAGAAAATGATAGAGAGACTGTGTGCGGTCTCAGCTGTAGCACGGCTGTAGATTTTTTACAAGGTGGATCGTGTGCTCCACTGGAGCGACAGCTCTGATTTTGACTTCTCAGTCAAGAGCAAACAACTCTTAAAAGAAGCAGACTTGTTGTCGGGAGGCGGGGAAGAGGAGAGAGTGCAGAGAGAGAAGGAAGCAGGAGGGAGAAGAGCAGCAAAGAGGAAAGAGTCAGGTAACAAAGACCCGTCACATCCCTGACAAGCCCTTCTACCATATCACTACGCTACATCACACAGAGAGTAATGCATTGATCCTCTGGGAGGGTGGCCCTTATCTGCACACACTCTTACATGCTCATATCTGTAGAGATACAAATTAGAGCTTCCTCGTAAAAAAAAAAAAAAAACCTGAACAACAGCAAACTGAAGAAATGGGATGCAGGAAAAGTGTGGGGATATGGATGATCGAGGGAAGGATAGGAGTGGGAGGAAGAGGGAAAGATGGGTTGTTTTGCCAAAAGCGAGGCTCTTTGGTGTCAGGAAAGAAGGGGATTGTGAAGGGTGGGATGGGAGGGGGGCGGGGACAGGGGGGCGGTGGGTGCAGGTAAGGCTAACAAACTAGAGGAGCCAGTTCCAAAAGTGCAAGAACCGATTTGATCGGAGCATGTTTCCGGGATCAATTACCTGCTATCGATAGACATGATGCAAATTATAAGCAGAATGATAAAAAAAAAGGAGTGCACGTTGTGTGTCTGGTGGCAGTTCATGTGAAGGCATAGTGACAGCTTCTGGTTCAAAAGTACAGGAATATGTCAAATGCACAATATAATAAGTTGTTTTAGTATGCTCAAACACTAAATGGCACACAGCGTAAACATAGAGAAAACAGCAGGTTCAGTAGCAAGGGAGCAGGTAACCCCAATAAGCTGTATCACTAATTCCTGATGCATTCCTGCTACGTCTCCCACCGCTGCTAGTTGAATCAGGCGACAAACAAAGACATGCAGAAAGCACAACAAAACAGTTCTGCGAGTCCAGACACGAACCCAAACACTAAGGCAGGGCTTGCAGATAAAGTTGCAGATACACATCATGTACTTGGCTCGCACTCAGCTTATTTCCCACAGTAGAGATAATACTTTCATTGTCTTGGGAAATAAGCCGTTAGTTTTAATTCAATAAGAAAATATTAAATCATCAAAAGAAGAGAGCATAGTTCTTGTCAGTTTTCAGAGTCGTTCTCTCAGTCCCAGTAGAAACACAATGTCACCCATACAGGTGCTTTTTCAGAAATATTTTTATTTAATTTAATTTTTTTAATTTAATTTTTAGAAATAATTAGTGAGAAGAGTTTTGCATGCCTGTTTCTGCTGCCCATTGTTGTCAAGCAACAGATACATGTACAGAAACCTGACTTTCTTCTCCATGACAAAAAACCATTTCAGAGTTTTGCTATATATAGAATAAGTCCACTTCCTGCACAATTTCAGATTCATAGCCCAAACGAGGAAAGAATCTTCAGCTCCAGTAGGCATCATCAGTGAAAAGCGGAGTCCTATCTTGCTTAACTTTGGGGCAAAGGAAAATGCTAAGTTTTTGAAAAGAAAACAGCCTTTGTGTGCTTAAAAGGAATCAATAAAAAGGAGGAGAGGAGAGGAGAGGAGAGGAGAGGAGAG